TCAGCAGGAGGAGCAAAACACAGTATGGTTTCAGAGGTCAGTTTTGGCCATTGCCTGGTGTCTTTGTTGCTAGGGATATAGCTCTTTTATCTAGTTTTATAGCTTCTTTCAAGGATCCTAGTATGTCTGTCCCTTTAACAATGTTATTTTGGATTTGTCTCTTCCTCTAGATATCTTCTACAGTTGTGTAATAAAATGCACGAAGAACCTCTAAAATATATTTTCTGAACTCATTGTAAATTATAAATTTGAAAAGCTAAAAACTTTTTCAAATACTGAATTTAAATAAAAAAACTAGTTTTCTTCATGATTTTGTACAATCAAATGCTGTTGCCTTCGATTATTAATGAGTGATGAACGAGGCAGATCCATGAAGTCCATGAGCTAGAGGTTAATGGTGAAGAACGAGATCCCAGATGAGATGATATCTCGAAGAAATGACATGACTTGAGTGCTCGTGGGGGCGTTGCTTGCTTTCACAATATATTTTGTTTGTATAATGTTCGAGGATAGAATAGAAAAATATATAAGGGATAAAAAAAAATATTTAGTTAAAAGAACAGAGGTAAAGATATAAAATAAATTTGTATATATAATATTTTTTAAAATAAATTTATATATTTTTAAAATATAAAAAACAAGTAACATGTCCTTTCCATATCTAATATTTATATTTATATTTTGAAATTATAATCAAACACTACTATTAGAAAGAACAAAAGAAGAAGAAGAAGAAGAAGCATATTTTGTTTTATAAATATGGAATGAAATGCAAAATTTAACATTAAAAAATAAGAATTAGACTAAAACTAGGTGAAATAAATAGGATTTAGTTTTCATTATATATACATATACATATATATATATATATATATATATAAAAGGATTTAGGTTAAATTAAAAAAAATCAAGGGGAATTTATTTTCTCCTCTTCACAAAGCATTATTTAATTAAAAAATTAAATGAAAAGAAGAATTTATTAGTAAAATATCTATTTCATTTTATTATTTAATATTAATTTTTTTTTTATCAAAATCTCATAATTAAAATTAAAGATTGATTCAGAATTAAGTTTTATAATTTATTTTAATTTATATTTTATTAAGTTATCATAATTTTATAATTTAAATTATGAATTTAGTATATTAATTCGGGTTAACTCAAGTTGATTAAATATATTTTTATTTCAATAATTTAAAAAAATATCTTAGATTTTTTTATCAAATTATATTTTTAATATTCATTTTATATATCTTTAAACCTATTAAACTAATTAAGCTATATCATATTAACTCTCGCAGGTAATTAAAAAAATTATTAAAAAAATATATTAACAATACTTAATTTTTTTCATAAAAAAATAAAATCAAATGCACCGTACCGCACGGTAAATGATACAATCCTAGTTGTTTAAATCAGGAGAGAAAAAAAATCATAGCACAACCCATTTAAGCGCCCGCTAGTTGTGTCCAATCAGCAGGTTCAGATCCCAATTTATACTCTCTCTATAAAAATCTAAAGTAAACCGCATGTGCACACACCCTTAACCTGCGCACTGAAAAAAATAAAACGCCCTCAGAAAAATACGAGGAAGCTCTCGAAGGAACATCAATGGCAGTGAACAATGACGATGGAGAAGAAAGAAGAATTCTTTAGCGACTTCAGTTTCGCTCCGTCAAATCAAGCTGGTAATTCCAATTCCACCATGATCAGCGGCTCAGATTTCACCAATACCAATGATGCTGATGCTGATGATGATGATTGGGGAGATTTCAATTTTGTCAGCAGCAATTCCAGTGGATTCAGCCACACCTTATCACTGCCCAAAATCTCAACTACCCATTTTGAATTCTCTACCAAAAATCAGAATCCGGCCGAGTCACTGACTCAGCCTGGATCGGCACCGAGTCGAGTTAATAATTCGGCTCGGTGGAAGAAGCCAAATGGAGCTTTGCCTCTTTCGTTGTTTGGAGAAATTGAAGAGGAGGAGGAGGAGGAAGGATCAGGTGCGGGCGAGCCTCCAAAAAATGAAAGTGTTCATTTTTCGAAAAATAAAGAGGGGTCAGGAGGTGTTAATGTGATTGATTTGATATCTAATTTGTATAAAGAGAAGGAGAGGAATAATGGGTTCGGATCCGGTTTTAATGGCTCGGATATGAATTGGGAAAATTTGAATGGTAATGGATTGACTGTCAATGGTGTAAATAAGGATGAAATGAATTCCAAGGGGTTGGATTTGGATTTGAAGGAAAACGGATTGAATTCACATAAAACCGAGTCGAATTTGGTTCAAAAAGATAAGAATTTCAGCGGGAATGGAGTGGATTTGGGATTGGTTAATGGTAATGAGCCATTCGATGTTAATGGCGGTGGCGGTGGCGGTGGCGGTTTCGGTGGTGGTGGTGGTGATGATGATGAAGATGATGGTTGGGAATTTAAAGGTGCAGACACTAAAACTGATGCGGAGGTTGACATTTCTAAGGTAAAGTTTCGATTTTTTATCTGTTTTCATCTGTTTGTTTTCATTGAGTTAGGCAGTTAAGTTTGTGTGGTTCATCTACTTTTTGTAATACATTTTAGATTTGGAAAGTGTATTTGTTTATTGTTTGTTATATGAGGATTTGAATGTGGGATTTGTTTTAGTGATGTTTTTTAATGAAGATTTATTGAATCAGGCTAGTGAAATGAAGGCTGAGAATGAGTTGGTGTCTAATGTTAATGGATTAAATTCAAGATGGAATCCTTTAAGCTTAGATTTGAATGGATGGACCTCGCATGTCAATAGATACGACTCAAGTTGGGATTGGTTGAATACGGGTGCGTTTGATGGAAATACAGCACCTGGTAACAGTGATGGCTGGGAATTCAAAGAAACAGGTTCCAGAATGCAGGCTGAAGATGAGAAAGAGAAGGTAATGTTAACTTTTATTATTGATCGTAGACTGTAATAGCTTCCTCTCTTTTGAGGACACGATATTTGCCTCTTTTCACTATCTACTTTGCTCTCATGTTTCCAAAAAAAAAAAAAACAGAGAGAGTGAATTTTGTTTTAAGGAACAATGGAGACATGTGCACCAATAAGATATTCTCTGACAAGAAATAGAATTTAAGATTTAGACTGTCTCCAAACTAATAGGATATCTCCTCATCTAAGCTAAGTATCTGTGTCAGCCACATTTAGTCAAAAACTTTGTACTCTCAGCTTGCAAACCATGAAAGGTGATGATTAACTTTTTCCACCTTCAATGCCATTGAAATTCCTCAATGAAATTGAAAGTGAGAATTTAGATGATGTTTTGGAATCTTGTTGTTGATTTGATGAGAACAATGATAGTTGTCTAGATTAAGATTAAAAATGTGTTATAATTGAATTTTACCACATCTGGTTTGAGTTTGAATATGTGGCACCTAGTTTCAGTGTGTTGATCTCGGACAAGTCGAGTTCAAATTTAAGTGGAGTTAATTCAGACAGGGAACAATTTAATACACAGTCAATGAAAATGTGAAGTTTAGTGGTGTTTGTGAATGGAGGCTCGAGTGTGGTGTAGAATCAGAATTGCATTTTGAGATGGCACCTCTGAGGTAAATCTGCGGTTCTCATGATTTCATTGACCTTTGAGGTTTCTTGTGTGTCCCTTTGCATTGCATGATGAGAAAACTGAGGACATTGACGAACATTGGCCTTCTGATATTTACTTGATTGATTGGCAATTGAGTATATATATTTGTTTACTATGTTGGCATAGAGTGATATAACGGCTGTTGGCAACTGAGCTGTTGGGAAGTTATTGTTTTTTATTCTGCATGTAGTTTAACAATATCATTTGCAATATGTTCAGGGTGAGCAGATGAAAGCTGAAATCAAGCCAATATTGACTTTTGATGGATCCAATTCAACCTGGAATTCATTGAGTTTGGATGGACTCAAGAATTCAAACTTAAATGAAGTGAACTCAGATATAAAACAGATGAATCTGAATTTATCTGATGAAAATGAGGATTTTGGTGGCGATGATGAGTGGGAATTCAAGGCTGCAGAATCAGAATCTGGGACTGCTGACAAGAATACTAAGGTAGCACGGTTCTCATGATTTACTAGATATATTTTAATTTTAGTTCGCTTTCCATTTGGTTTAATAAAATTAAAACTTGAACTGTCTTGTTTGGTTCTGTCAGTCCTAAATAACAATGAAGCATCTGTGATTGACGTTTCTCTTCTCAGCTTAGAGCCTGTTTGTTTTTGAGTTTCAACTGAAAAAATTTGATTTGATTTTTATTTTTTTATTTCCCTCAAATAATTATTTTTTTTAGTGTTTTCAGATTGTTTTGATGTGCTGATATCAAAAATTAATTTTAAAAAATGAAAAAACATTATTTCAATGCATTTTTAAGCAAAAAGCATTTTGAAAAGCAATCCTTATCACAATACCAAACAGGGTCTAAAAATAACATGAACAAATAGTGCTTTTATTGTTTTGCAAATCATGGTAGGGATTAGGGTGCTCTGAGTTAATAAGATTGAAAATTATTAATAAATCAGGACATGCTAGTAGATACTTGATTCATGAGAACACAGAGAAACACAAAATTGTGGTTGCATCATGAAAATCTTTATTTAAGTTTGGTTAATGTTTCTTCCTTTCTTTTCTTTTTGATCATTCTTGCGTAAGTGCTGCTTAATTTTGCATTTATTATGTGCTGTTGAGATGGCTAAACTTTTGTACACCTAATGCCATTGGCTAAAATTCTGAAAAGAGCCATTAAACAAGGATTTGTGCATTTCTTCAGTGATTTCATTTTATTCATCAAGTCTGACTTTTTTTAGTGTGAAGGGTGATGAGAGAAAGGTGGAAAATCCTGAGGGAACCACACATGCAATTAGGTTTGGCAGTGGAGTGATTGGTACTGGTGATTTATTTGGTGCATCACAACAGACCTCCAAAAAATCTCCTGGACAGGACTTTGGGTTTGATTTCAGCACTTTTTTGGCTCAAGACACTAAAATGCTCCATACACACACTAAAAATGAGCAGAACGATACCAAAAAAGTCTCACATTCCTCCCCAGATGATGGTGTTGATTCTGATGAGGAGTCTTGGGAATTTAAAGATGCATTTTTGGAAACTAGATCAAAGGAAAAGGTGACAATTTTATTTATTTTATTTTATTTTTGTGATTCAATTGTATTTAAATTTCTTGAATAACATGAATTAATGAATCCTTGTTTTTCCCTTTTGGCTATAGGAAGAGCCAAAGGTTGTTGAAGTTTCTGCTGCTGTGGAAGCATTTCCATTTGATGGTGAAATTAAGGTGCTTCGTCACTTCAAATGCTTCGTGTTTTAATAAAACTGTATGCAGTTAATTATATTAACGGTGGTTTGCGTCTAAACATATAGCATAAAAAAATATAAATAGTGCATCCCAGGACATCTATTTTTGTTTTTTGGTTTTCTTTTTTTTAGTAGATATAAGATGCCTTTGCGGAGACTTATAGCCCTTCTTATTTGCCATCTTTGCTAAATTGATCAAGTTTGATTTATGTTTGAAACTTTGACAGAGTGAAGTTTGCTAATAGTGTATGCATTCATGAGCAAATATTGTTCTGTTATATAATGATCTTTCCTTCTTCTTGATCAGGGAAACATGGCCAGGTCAATCAGTCATAAAGGAGCCCTGCCCTTGTCCATTTTTGGTGATGAAGAACAGGATTCCAATGATCCTGTGAGTTATCAAGACATTTCACCTCAGCTGTCCGGTTCAAAGCCAATAGATGACATTAAGAGTCCTCATTTAAACATTTCTATCAACGATCTTATATCAAGTTTATACAGTCAAGCTGAGCATGATACTGCTGTTAATCATGGTCAAAATCCCAGTGGAAGTGGATTGAGCCCTGCCAATGTTGTAATAGAGTCTAATTTAGCAGGTGATAGTGATGATTTTGATGACGATTCCTGGGAATTTAAAGATGCCTCTTCAGGGATCAGAGCTGAAGATCAGGCCTCTTTTATTGGTCTTGGAGAGCCTAATACAAAATATTCCACCAAAATAGAGCTAAATGATTATGTTGATTTTTTTTGCAAATTGAAGGAAGAATTACACTTTCTTGCCCTGTGTCATCTTGATAATCTAAAGGTTAGTAGTAGCCTTGTTAAGTTACTCACCTTCCTTCTCTCAAAGGTTAAGTTGTTAATGGCATTGAATTTTGAAATATGCTTTTTGTTAGAAAGCTCAAAGTGCTGCTAATGAAGATGCTGAAGTGAAAGCCCTTGGAATGGAAATACAGGTTGGTAGCTCTGTTTGGTCACTTGTGTCCTCGTTGTTCTTGCACAATCTCTTCTGGTTTGTTTCCTTTGTCAAAGACATTGTACTGAAAAGATCAATGAACTAATTCAAAAGGCATTATAATCTGATTGCTTGTTTGTCTCTTATTTCTTAGGAGATATTTTCATTTACTCTCAGAAATGGTGATAAATCTGTATCTGGGAAGTTTCTGGAGATACTTGCATAAGTTTTTTGTCTTTAGCTTACTTTCTTTGCTGGTTTTTTTTTTCCCGGTATTCATTCTCTCTCAAACTTGCATCTGTTACAATTATGCATCTCTCTGTGCTGCCTCAGTATGAATTTGACTGTGGAAATTAAGCATTAATTTTGTTTCCCCTTTCTTTCAGATTTCAGTTTTTTTTTTTTTTTCTGGATATGTAATGATTTATGCATATAGTACAAGAAATATATTTGGGCTTACAATTTCATAATATGGCTTTGTTATCTGCTCTTCTAGAATCTTCATGATGAACTGCAGCAAGATGGTTTGTTTTCTGGTGAAGTTGACACAGGAAATCACTCCCCAAGAAAATTGTGCCTCAATGCATTTGTTGAGGTTTTGCAAGAACCAAAGTTCCAAGTGTTTGAATCAGAATATCAGTTAACAAGTAAATTGTCATTAGTAAGTCTTTTTTGCCTTAATTTATTATTAAAGAACCGTTGGACTGGAGAATCTGGCCTCTTTTAGCATCTACACTATAAGTTGGCTAATGCTTCATTTATGCAAAGTTGTGTATATTTAAAACTCAGCATAACATTTTGGGAATGATATTTTCGTTTTGATCTCTTTAATGCGTTATTTTCTTTATACTGGTTCTGGTTTCATGCTAATGATATTTTATATCATATGATGACAGGTTGAGAATGATTTGGGAGTGACCATGGAACTCCTCAAACATGTGGCATCAACAATAAAGATTTTGATGGTGGTATCAAGGAAGGAGCAATCTAGTTATGTTTCCACTTGGTCTGAAATCCTGTCTGTTTGTGCTCGAGAGCTGAAACATGGTGCCTTAATTTGGATGCAGTCATTACAAAAAGATGTCCATGATCAAATATTATCTAAACCTCAAGGTACCCCATTATCATTCATGTGTAACAAGAGATCTGGTAATTTTCACGGATGCCTTGTATATGTGTTTGATATTTTAACGTGACATTGTTTGAGGTGTTGCAGGCAAGAACTATATTGTCGCCCTTGGAGAAATATATAGAGTTGTTGAAGTTATTGGGTCCTCGGCCAGACTTTATAAGCCATGGTTATTAGTGAGCTCTACAAATCCCATGGGCTTGCTCACTCTTCTAAGTGAGTGTTTCACTATATGGTCAAGCTCTGGACTTGAAGAAGCTCTGCAAAGCATTTCTGATCCAGCTGGTCTTTATAATAATGGAAGTCTCACTACATTAATTGAATCGATTAAGTATATTCACGATCTTGATGCTCCTACGCTGTATAACCATGTTTTCTGTGGACAAGGTCCTATCTGTCAACTGTCAGTTTTAACTGCAGGAATAGTACCAGGTATGCAGAATATTGATTTTATATAGTTTTTGGATGAGGCTAGGCCACTTAAAGAATCAATTTCCTCATATCAATCATGACACGCGAAGTGGCAAAGATGCTATTTGTGTCTTTTGAGCGTCCATAAGCTCATACCAACAGACTGCAATTTAGAGTTCTTAGAAATTGTCGCCTTTCACTCTATCTATAAATTTAGAAAATTGAAGTGTGCTAATTTGCAAAACACATTCTCAGTCCAAAATAAGTGACCATTGTGGAAAGAATAAAAGTTGTAATTTATTTTTTAAACCAAAAATATTTATTTTTTTCATACAAATCATAGATTTTCTGATTTTGTGAGTGGAATGGAAATTTTAATTTTTTATTATTTAAAAAATAAATTATTATTTTTATCATTTTTTGTAGCAGCCACTTATTTTGGAACCGAGAGACTAGTAGTGTGCTAGCTTTTTTTGTTATTTTATTAGCCTCTGTTGGAGACCTTTTTGGCATGGCACTATAAGATGATGCTGGCATGCATTCATAGAGCTTATAAACCAGGTTGAACAAATTAATATTTTAACCATCTTGACTTCCTTGAACAGGGATGAAAACTGTGGTGTGGAATGGGGAGCACTACTTTCTCACGCTTGCTAATTTGTGGGCAAATTTAGTAAGCTGCAACCCTCCAAATTTGCCACACATACATGTTGGATGATGAGGTTGGAAGGATGGGTTAATGTTCACTAGCAGCTTTTTGGCCGGGACTGTAGTTGTCTAATTGAGTCCAATTGTTTTGTTCATGATGAGGCTTCCAGGGCATAAGCCACAGTTGCGCTGTCACAAGGATACCACTCGGGGAAGAAAAGATCCAAATGTTGCCTCCTTGAAACCTGATCTGATATTCAGGTACCAAGCCAACATCTTTATTGGTTGCCATTCTTTACATCAAGGCTCTAGCTAAGCAATAGTTGTTTTGGTGTGTTATTTTGTTGTGAAATGGGTGGATCATACAACACCCATATGCCTAGAAATAGGATTATGGCATGTATACGTGTATAATAATTTGTTTCTCTAGATCCACCTCCCATTCTACCTTTATCATGTTGTATTACAGGTTCAGTCATAGTGCTTGTTGTCAAGCGCTACATTCTTTCAAGTGACCGGAGACATTTTTTACTCAATTAATAAAGTGCATCAATTTTATTGTATAAAAAAACAGATTTTCTTGCTCGAACATGTTTGTGACATTTTCCAGAAGGTGCCTGCATGCAGGACCTTTCCAGCATGCTAGAATGAAGATTAGAAATATGAACTTAACCACTCTGATAAAGAATTACTGTTGCTTTGTCTGTTCTACTAGTTTGCTGATGCAATATTTTCTGGGACTTTCAACTTATTTGTATAAAGAAGGCATGCCGGCGGAGGACCTCCTCCTCATAAAAGAGGATAGGACGACTTGGAAGTCAACTAGCCTCCATTATCTTTACTCTTTACAATTTCTAGCATAATTTGAAAATAGATATATGCTTTTTCATTTTTAGCAGGAGCATAGTGTTAAACCTAGGATTGAGTACCATAAGCACCGATCAACTTCTTCGCTCTTGGTTTGAATCGTATGTCGGCTCTCTACATCCAAACTGGTGCATTCAAGGGAAATTAACCTTCTTGTGGCTACAAGCAAGTTGAAAATCTTGGCCGGCAAGTTTCCATGCATAGAAAATGAGCACCTAGTGATCTATATATGTTATAGATTGATTAAATTCAACCTAGAGAGGCTGTTTAGACGTAACGTCTAAAGGTAATGGTCCGCGATGAGTAGATTTATTTCTCAATCAAGATTTTAATTATTAGTTGGAAAGTTGTCTCCTGCATTATTATTGTGTTTTAGGAGTCAAGGATGGGAGACAAGTACATTTGACTACGTGTGTAGCATAGTGCTTGCTTTACTAATAATTAAAAATCCTTGCTTCCCCTCAATCAAGCGTAATCCAAGGGTCCACAATCACGCTGATAGGGCTCATGCAAGTGATGTTTTCACATATACTTGCAGACATGACTCTGTTTCAATTTGTATCTATGCTTTTGCATTTTTATATTTTGTTTTGTGCCTAAATGGATCATACTCTCCTCCTCTCCCTTTTAGAGAAATGTCGACTTTTCAAATCAGAGTCATGGGTCTCCATCCATACGGTGGATTCCACAAGCGCCATCGCCATCCTCATACACTAGTGGTCCTCAACATGATTGGCAAATTCCACCTGATTTATGAGTTGCTAGATTATAGAATCAACTCTCATGAATCAATCATCGGGTTGATATGGATTTAAATCATGTTTAGTCACATTAACTAGGTTTTATGGAGTTAATATCTTGTTTCATTCGAGCTCTGAATTCTAGGTTTTCCATGCTAATCTATCAAGTAATGCCGGGTTTACTAACTAGGTTGCCGGCATGGGAAGCCACACCGGATGTGACTACAGTGTGTGTCCTCGTCTCGAAGCTAGGTCATGTATATAGCTTGTCGTCTTTCAGAAATTAGTGTGAAAGAACAAGATTGGCTTGTCCGCTGTTGAAGGATTTAAAGACAGAAAAGGTGTGTTGTCGGCTCCTTCTAGGATGCTTCTAACTGTAAGGGAAGATGCTTGACATGTCGTCAAGTAAGGAATGCAACAGGGCTTTGTTTCATATCTCCTGCTCCGAAGTATCATAGTTAGTTACAATCAAAATGGAAAACTGATATGAAGATCAGGTTTAAAATGGCGAAGGCGGCCATTGGAGTCGTTGCATTGAAGGAATCCCCTCCCCCCCCCCCCCCCCCCTTTTCTTTTTCTTTTTTCTATGAAATATTTTTCAGTTTGCTTTTAAATTCATAATATGGTCTGCCAAATGCGAAATTTTACATGGAATCAAGAACATTTTCGTTCAATATCGACCCTTGAAGGCTTGAGTTGATCATCAAATACTTGGCCATCTAAATAAAAATGGGACATTCTGAGCTACTAGAGTGGCTTGCACTCGAAGTTACTTAAAAACAGAGTAATATTTTAATTCTTTTTAAAAATAATTGAAGTTAGAAAAAGAAGAAAGAAAGCTTCCTATTCAAATGCAATATTTCTCGATTTATTCTTCGTTTCTCAAATTCCTGCGAGTTTAGGAAACACATTTTTCATGATTTTTTTTATAAGTTATTATTTTTCAAATAAAAAGAATGCATGAATATATATTAATACAATTTTTTTTTCTTTTATATATAAACATGAAATATTAAATTTATTTTTTATGCATTTATAATTAGTCATAAGTTTACTTTTTATTGTAGAAACAGTATATAAAAATATTCTTTTTCAAACATTTGTTTTTATTTTTCTAATGTTTCTGCAGATTTTAGTCACCACACGCACCTTTTTGGCCCAGTAAGGTAATAGACTAACATGTCATGCAGGTGGGTAAATATTTTATGGTTACTGCTGGAGATGCAAGAGATCAATCAGTGCTCCACATGTAGACAAAAAATCTTTAAGAAATTAAATCGACATTTAGGAAACAAAAGCATATGCTAGCTGTGAAGCCGTATATTACTTCAGGCAACATTCATCTCTTTGCTGTCTCTATACACTTGAGCATATATATAGCCTCGATTTATTAGTATTATAGGGTAGAAAATATGTGTGTGTACGCATGATTTACTTTGGAAGGATATGGGAGAAAGGTTGTAATTAAACTTTGGAGCCCAATATCTAACCAAGATCAGAAGGTATTTATTTACTGCTATATGAGGACAATGCTTGGAGGAAAACTGGCATCTGTGTTGTCGATTTTTCAACGAGTTTCATTGATTCAGAGAAACATGCAGCATGATGCTACTTGACATTAATTCTTTGCTGCACCCCAGAAGCAGCTGCCTCTAAACCACAAAGCTCCAACTCATGATTGAGTTCCATGAGAAAGAAACCACCACCTTATTATGGATCATATGTTTATAGCCAACATCATTATCATCTTTAACTTTTTTCCTTCATTTGCGAAGTTGCACTTTTTACCATGGTTTTGTACACACAGTAATCGTGTAGAGCTGCATTTGATTCACTACACACACACACACACACATGTACAAAGAGAGGGAGAGGAGCTGCCGAACTGGGATATATTTATATGAACAACAAGAACATGTATAGTAAACAAAGCTCTCTCTCTCTCTCTTTCTACATATACATATATATACATACATACATACATACATATATATATGAGCTGCTGCAAAAGCAGCATGACTTTCACATCTTTGCTTGAAGTCTAATACAAGTTTGAACAATGCTCACTATGAAGATATAAGAGCACAGAATATGTATTTGAGCTTATTAATATATATATATATCGTAGAAGCTACTGCAATTATGGCATGAGCTAGCAGCTCTACAGTTTATATATATACATTTCCTGAAAAGATTTGAATGTGTTGGCTGATTTGCAGATTACCTGTTGTGTATGGGGTCAGGACATGAGGGTACCACTCTATTGACATTTGCAACATAGCCATTAATATCTTCAGAATTAGCTCCTTCTTTCTCATTTTGGGTTTTCTCCTTAGCTTCCACGTTCTCTTTCAGGTTTCTTGCACCTACTACTCCATGGTGAAAAGCTGAAATACTCAGCAATACCAACAAGAGACACCCCACCTGACTCCTTGACATAAACATGACTTCTCTCTAAATTACTACAGGCTTTACCTCTCCTTCAAGATGGAAACTACTACAAGGATCTTGAGTGAGATAGAAGTGGAGAGAGAGGGCTGAGACTTGTAGTGTAGTTAGTAGGTGGAATATAAAAGGGAAAGGTTGAAGAATAGTCAAATGGAGGATTTGTCCGTAAAGGTGAAAAACTTTGAAGTAGTAGGTCCTTTCAAATATGCGTGGATGGATGTGAAAAAAGGCTGTATTCTTATGTATAATTAATCCATTTATCATTTTTAAATTATTTTTTGTGAGAAAAAAACACTTTAGTCAAATTCTCTAGCATATAAAGACGAAGAAATGACGAGAACACATGAAACGGCTATGGAGTATTGTCAATGTTGAGGTGGTTGTGTCCCACTTATACTTTCTCCTTCACCAGATTGTCAATTTCCATGGTTTCATACGAAGTTGCAGCACTTGCATGGCGACAGCTAGGGCAAAGAAATGCTTACAAGGGCATGTAAGGACTACTTCAAGATAATCTATGATGATGAGATGTACTAGAGCAGGAGCCATGAATATCGATCTCCACCGACCATCCATCTCTAGTCCAAGACCAATTTAGCAAAAATATAATATTCAAATCTAATAATTTAAATTATTTTCTAAACCTAACACATTAACTCTGGTCTCAAATATTGTTTTCACAAGGACCTCAATTTCAGGATCTTGGCTTTGACTCTTACTTTGGTTGTTGTTTTTTGCTCCCTATGCTACTGTCCATCTCAATATAGTAATATCCTAGGGCATCATTAACTACTGTTTCTTTCTTTTTCTTTTCTTTTTAATTACAGTTAATTATGATTTGTTGGCAAAGTTTTGGGTTTCAAAATCTAGGGTTGTCGTTGCCATCTTTGCCTTTTGAAAAAACAATTCAATTTCTTTTTATTGGTACTAAAAGAACATCTTTAATTAGCTTATATGTTTAATTGGGTTTAGGTAAAGATTTATTTGATTATATTTAATCACAGCATATTGTTTCTGCTCTGGACTAGGTTATGGAAGCTCTTAATTACCGCATGTATCATCTCTTGCTGGTTGTGAATGCAAGCCCTTGTGACTAAATGTTTCTTTCAATTCATGGCTGCATACAAGTGTGTGTGTGTAGATTAATTATTAAATTTATGGGTATTAATTTATAGAGATTTATCTGTAATTTCCATTGTGTTCTTGAGTTTGAGTTTCCTTTTTGATTGAAATTATTCTTTTTGGCGGATATGAAAATATATAAAAGGATTAAAAAGGGTTTTTTTTTTTTTTGTTTGAACTAGATGGACTAACTTATTAATTTCTAAAACCAAAACGACATAGTTTACGATAAATAACGATAAATACTTTGTTTTCAAATGTAGCTAATTACAGGATTAGATTTCACTCCAAAAATCCCTTCTCAAGTCGCATTCATACAATAGGGCTATAAAAAAAATGGAAAAATTAAGGGAAATTAAATTGAAATATTTTCAAAGATAAAATAACTTAATTTACAATATTTACTATTTAA